CGTTTCCTCCGCCCGCGCAATTTGAGAGGACAAAACGCATAATCCAAATACAGTGTAGGCAGCAATATGAACAAGCAAAGCAGGTTTCTTTTGGGTATATGACCAAAAGCGACTCTCATTTAAATTATGAAAATTAATTAAGATTACAACTTGCAAATTAAATTTAAATTTAATTAAGATTGCAACTTGCAAATTAAACTGGGCGATTCAATGTCTACAGTTCGACTTTAGGTGGAGGTGGGTCCCAAAACGCTGACATGAAATTCAAGGCGACGGGCTCCTCCTCCTCCGGCTGGGACCGATTCCTGGTTTCATCCATTTTCTTGATGAATGAAATAAGTGTAAATTTTAGCAATAATCTCTTAACTTTAACTCAATTGGAGCAAGAGTTTCTTAACTAAAAATACATTTTGATGAGTTGAGGGACCAATGGTAATGGATTTTTAGTTAATAGATCATTGTTCTAATTTGATTAAAATTGAAGAATCATTGCTACAATTTACTAATGAAATAATGAACACCGTTTGGTCGTTTTCTAAGGAAATAGTCTAATATGTTCAGAACTAATCAAAATTAAATAATGATATATCGATCACATGATAAGGATATAACGATCAAATATCAATAATCAAACAATTGTAATTAAAAAATAATCAGTTTGACCAATTAAAATTAATAGACAATACATGAGGTTATTCTTCCCCCTTCAAACATGACATGATATAATTTTGTCGTATTATTATCGGAATTGTTCATCCTTTTTAATCACCATCTATCAATCATCTTTACAGAAAATCATTCATTTGGACATCATTTAGTCATCCACATATACCAGATCAATCGGCAGTCATGATAACAAGTAACATCCTTATTATGAACCATCAATTTGTGTGATTCATATGAATGACTAAAGGATTTCTAAATCACATTTTTTTTTTATTTTTAAAGATGTTCATTTGGAAGAAAAATAACTTTTTATATGTAAGGATTCAAACAATATATATATATATAGTAATTGTTTATAATTCTTTCTTAAGTGTATCGTCCGTTTTAAATGAGAAGAACTTACATGCAATCAGTTTGGTAAACTAATTGTATTCGTGTCTAGGTCGACACACTAAAATGTACGAGAACGCATTATAGGCTTAAAAGATATTGAATAAGTTATAACACATGACCACACGTTATTAACAAAGATGCCACCAATAGCATCCTTGCAAACAAGTTTCTCTCGTACATTAGAAATACATGGCATTAAAACAACATATAAGTTAAACCCTAATTTATCTGCAACTAGGAACCAGTTTTCGTAAGAAATGGATAAGAGGAGTAAGGAGTAAGGACGGCCTATGGTGTGTCTGTAACTAATGTCATTGCCTCCACTAGGTGGTGGTGACGGTTGAGGCCATTTTTATGAAAGCAGGGTCTTCTTCTCCTTTTGTTTTCTTAGCATTCAAGCATATTTCATCAAAGATGACATGCCCATGATTGTCGAATAAAAATTTACATCTTATTGAAACAGAAGATTGCTAGACTGCGACTGTGTCTACAACAACAATAAAACTTTATTTCAGTAAGTGGAGTCGTTTATATAAATCCTAGAATGTTACTTGCTGCTCGGTTTTATGCTAAGTCTTCCGTTAGCTTCAAATACTCTATGATTTTTCTTAAAGTATCTTTCCAAGTCTTCCTCTACTTATTTTGTCCCTAAGCTTTTATCTCATAATCGCATTTTCTAACCGGAATATCCGTATATGCATTCATTTTTCATGGTCAAACCACCTTAACCAAGACTGTCTAATAAATAAAATATCCAAATTCACTGCAACAAAGAAAATTCTTTCTTTTAGTGAGTCAAAGACCAAGTACACAGACCAAGTACAAATTGCCGTCTAACACCCACCAATAAGAACAACTCCAACGATAGGGTTTTTCGTTCACAAAGAAAATTCAAGCTAGGGAATAAAAAACGCACCATTTTGGAAGAGATTTGGAGCTTGAATAGTGAAAAGTATTTAACTTTGTGATTGAAACTTGGAGTTTAATTCTCCCCTTTCCTACGTGTGCGCTGTTCACATGCCTAAATAAGTAGCAGAGGCCATCAACCATGAACAATTATTGTACGTATGTATCATATCTATTTTTTTTATAAAGGGGACTCACTAGTAGCTTCACTACTATAGTTCATCTTTCGAGGGCAGACTCATAAAGGCATTTAAGACTCTCATTGGCTACCGTCTTATGATTCACCAACGTCAAGAATCAAATTCAGGAGGTGCCATATGGAATACGAACTTGGAATTCGTCCACAACCACTAGGCCCCTCTAGTGGTTGTAACGTATCCAATATTGAGTTGGCCTAATTGCCTTACGCTGAATTGAGATAGTTTGAGACAAAACATTTAACTGTGGTTAAGTTGAAGGCAATATCACAAACAGTTGTGACTCATTTAGTTAAGAGTATCTCTTGCTTTGAAGGTTTAAGATTCTATTCTTGATTTGTAAAAACAAAACCAAAAACATATGATATCGTTATAACGTAAGAGCCTGAAAGACGTCGCCTCCAAATGAGTCTCAGATTCATCCATAAGCCTTCTAGACCTTAGGTCTACGCCTAATGCTTTGTAGTGTTAAACTTTGAATTCCGATCCTCGTCGAATCCTCTTTATGAGTATCCTGAAGATCCGTGAATCGTGTCCGTTCATCATATATCATGCGGTCATAAATCATTTTAAATATTTTTATTTAAAATTAAACACAAACACTAATACTTAACAAAAACTGACCACACGATTTACAATGAACAAACACGATTCACGGATCTTCAAGATCTTCACCAAAATGATTCGGATAGGATCCTGTTGGCTAAACTTTTAAGTCTACGACCAATGACAGAGACTGCAACAGAGACATTGATGACTAAGTCGTACATATACACGGTACTATTTGATTAAGGTCTTATGTCAAATGATCAAAATCACAATTAACTCAGCTCTAACAATTGCCAATGACTTGTAATTGTTGACTTTTTGGCATCGTTTGGACAAAGGTTCATCCTGTCAAATGATTAAGTTTTGTGTAAAATAATAAGTTTTGAGTCTCAGCATTTATAAGTTCACGAAACAGTAAGATATTAGTTCCAAATCAAGCCACCAAGTGGACATATTCACTCCTGTAAATAAGATTTTGAGTTTGATTCACCATCCTAAAAGCCACTTATGTAAATAAACTCGACATCCCAAGTTTAATTCCAACTCATAAGTAGCTAAAAGCCTATTCCTCTCACTCTATACATATGGTTGGTATGGAGGAAGACATACATCGAACAAGTTTATCACTATTATGCATCCTGATATAATATTACATTGTCATGTATAAGGCTTTTTTTCATATATGTGAGAATGTATTATTGGACCGTAACGTCATAGTAGCTAGTAGTTGGCTATAAAATTGTATGAGAATTTTAGGGTAATTATTGTATATTCTTCTCTCAAGGAAGATTGATATAAGTACAAGATACATGAAATCCCTAATCAAGGAGGAAATCCCTATCCATAAAGAAATTACAAATTTACAATAAATATGAAAAACGTTGACTCACATCAATACTCGTTTCATGTAAATTGTTCTCGTGACAATGAGCATGTTGCAATAACTATACTTCTTATCCAAGTGAGGAGTGACACTTGATACTTCCCTGATCTTGCAACTAAATTGATGTTTGGATAGGAGAGACAATTGACACAAAAATATCTACTTCCATTTGGATGGCAAAGAATCCTTTCATCCCAAACCAAACGTTGCTGGCCTACATCTGTGTTGTGAACATCTAAACCAGTATTAGCATTGCTATTGCCAGCAATAGTGAGTTCGACACTTGAGGTTAGACATTTTTTTTGCTTCAACGGTAAGACACCTATAATTTCCACCCTCAACTTTATAATTTGTTAATCTTTTATATTTAGTTGATTTTTTTTTTGTTAATAATTTTGGAATTATTTTTTGTATAATCTATGTTGTTTTATTTTTGCAAACATTTTGATGTAAAAAAATTCAAATTCTGAACAAAAAAATAAAAATTTTTGAGAAAATTGAAATTTTAATGGATTAATGAACACATGGATGTGTATTTACATAGTCTTGGTGTTGGATATGATTTGGTTAATAAATAATGTTATTTTGACAGTTGCATTTAAATTTGAGCCATTTCATCTTTTATTACAGTTAAAATTGATTAAATTGAATTTGAGCCATTGAATTTAAAAAGGATATAGCTGCCACGCCACATTGGAACATAACCCATGAGGCGTTACAACCATTGGATTCGAATGGCGCTCCAATCTGGGCTGTAAAACCCATGTTTGTCGTGCACTCGCCCGCAGAGAATGTTGTTCGTATGATCCGTGTGACCTTGTTTTACGTTATGGAGTAAAGTTGTGTGGGGCCCTTGGCCCACAAGAAACCTTAATGGGGGATAGGAGAACCAAATACCCACCCCACACTCAAACTACACCTATTACAAATGATTTGGACCCAAAATTTTGGGTTTTTTTTTTTTTGATTCCACCCTCCCGTTGGAGACAACCTTAGGGAGAGAAAGATTGGTGAAATTTGAAAACGTACTAGAAGGCACAAACATAACTATTTTGCATCACTGCAGTAAAATGTCATTTCTCGAAGAAAAAAATAGCAAATACAAAAGTCAAATCCTAATTAAACCATAAATATCTCAGCTCTACTTGTGTTGACATTTGAGTACAAACAACAGCTAAAAGATGCTTTTGACCGTTTCAAAACGTTAGCAGTTGGCCAGAAGGCATTTCATGTGGATGGAACTTTGTTGACATTTGAGTAGAAACAACAGCTAAAAGCTGCTTTTGACCTTTCAAAATGTTAGCAGTTGGCCAGAAGGCATTTCATGTGGAATGGAACTTTTCAAAGCACGAGTTTATAACATGCGTTGTAAAGAACACACTGGAAGATAAGGAGGAGAGAAAAGACTTGAATGTATAACTCCCCATTTCACAATGTTGACGAAAGCTCTCACTTTTTTTTATTGAGTGACGTTTTAATTTAATTTAAATTACAGAATAAAGAATCAAATTACGTGCTGATGATAGCGCACTGTTCTAGCCAACTCTTGTGAAAGATCGCTTATTTAAACCCCTTAAGATTTTGTAGCTTGATGGGGAGGCTGACAGAAAGTAAGATTTGGGGCACCCGAACCGCTGCATACCGGGTTGCCGAAAAGTCTGCAACATGTAAAAGTGTCAACCAAAAGTGATTGTGAGCGGAAAATGCATACACAATATCATAGAAATCAAGAGATCAAGAACCATGAACTGTCTCACATTAGTTCATTTTTGTATTCATAATCAGAGTTACTACTGGAAATTTGATTGTACTGCAGATCAACAAGCTGCAGTTGTTTGCTGATGTTATCTCCCATGTTCAACGTATCAGTTAAACGAGTTGTTTTTCAGTTTCCTGTCAAGAGTTAGGAGAATATGAATGATCAGCTTCGAAGGAAATAATTATCAAATGGCCTGATAATTACAGTTAAAACTTGATACATGTTTTCGTCGAGTGCTCTCTCTAAAACTTACACTTGCTGTAATTCTGGAAGGCCGAAAAGCTTCTCCGGTAGAGTCCCTTGAAGTGATCCAAATTCTATTACCCTGTTGCCATAACATAGCAGAGATTTCCACCAAAAGAATTCAACAAGTTTTCGAAGTTACGTATTCTAAGACTTGTGAAGAGAAACAATGAAAATCTTATGCAAACCTCTAAGGACTTACAAAGTGGTGAGTGTGGGTATGGTGGTGAACCAAAGCGGAGCTTCTGACGCGTCGAATGAGTTGTTGCTAAGGTCTCTGAAAGTAAAATTGTTACGATTTTCAGTTCAACAGCAGAAAATCTTGCAGGAATGTCGAAACTTTAAACTGGAAACGGCAGCTCCTCGTAAGCTACTCACACATAATTGAGGAGATTCATTCCACTTAAGTCCGGTAAAGGGCCTGTCAAGGAGTTGCGGGCTAAATTTCTGGAAGAGAATGTGAATCATGTGAAATGTGATTAACAGCGCTTTTCGGCTTAGGGTGTCAAAGTTGGGCTTAAACATGACCGAAAAGATTATGGTTAAAAAAGAACATTGCAGATTACAAGATTGATGCTTACAATTCATAGACATTTGTAAGGTTTTTAAGATTCGATGGAACAATTCCCGTCAGAAAATTTCCATCAAGCCGACTGTTACAGACAGGAAAGTTTTGATTCCGAATATGTCAAGAAACAGATACTTGTATGTGGAAGAACAAATTGAAGACGGTTTTTTACTTACAGAACTTTAAGAGTGTGAACAAGTCCTAATGTTATTGGAATAGAACCGCTAAACCTATTTCCGTCTAAAAACCTGCGGTTGAAGAATGACAAGCGGTTAGATGACCGAAAATACCGAACAAAAACATGTACATGTCATGGACTTACAAGTCTATCAGTGTCATCTCGGAGCTGGAAAGTTGGGGCGGAATGGAACCTGAAAGCTGGTTCTCGTTCAAATGGCTGCGCATTCATCAAACCAGTGTAATGCTTATGCAATATGCAGTGGCAGAATATCCAAATCAAAACTTTTCATTATTTCACAGTTGAGAAGAACTAGGAATTGGATGGATACTCACAAGTGTTTAGCCTTAAGCAGGAGGTCTAAGCCTGGGGAAGTGGAGGTCGAAATAGGGATAGGTCCGCTCAACTGATTTTTTGCCAGGTCCAGCCAGTAGAGGTTTGAGAGTTTACCCAAAGGATGAGGTATAACACCAGTGAGGTTATTTGAATTCAGAGCCCTGAGAAGGACCAAAGATTTACAAAAAGATAGGAAAAGTAACATAACTGAGAATGCTACTGTGACAGTATTTCAAGTTTATCATCATTGTCATGCACGCATTTTAACTTTCTCACATGATAGACGATGCATAACCAGATCAGACTACCGTCATCACAGCGAACTTTTTAATAGTTCCAATTCTTACAAGAAGGTTAGCTCTGCAAGATTGCCTAATTCATCTGGAATATTACCACTGAAGCTGCACCCAGCTAGGACCCTAAAATGATCGCAAGAGTCATCAGTTTTTCATATTCAATATAAAAAATTTATGCGCAATGTTCAAAAGTTCCAAATACGAAGATTGCTCACTCATTTGGTCTTACATGACATTTAACTTCTTCAGATCACCTAGTCGCGGAGAGAGAGAACCGGTGAGGCCAGGGTTGAATGAAAGGTCCCTGCGCAATGTTAGCGTTTCAGCTTCAAACGCAATGCTGTTGCAAAAACAGGATTAATCATACTCACATGGATCTTAATTCAGTGAGTCCCCCAATGTCACCAGTAAGTTCCCCTTTCAGACCGGTGCTTGACAATGCCCTACGCATAAATGTGAAAATATGTTCAGTAAAGTGATCGTTGCTAGCAAACCTCAACGAAAGATCAAGAGTACTGACAGTGCAGACACCCTTGAACCGTTGCAGGTGACTCCTTCCCAGCGCAAACCACAGGGATCGTTCGACTTGTCCCAGCTGGGAGGTGTATTTTGCCATGCCCCCTTCAAGGATTGGAGTACAGCAGCTGCAACAATACACATATAAATCGATCAATCGCTACCTTAACGGAGTTCTTAGACATAAAATTTGCAGCATGCTCATTTTGCACTAGGCTTAACTCGGAGATAAATATACGAGCACATTTAACATTGATGCTTAAGACAACACAATACCATCATTAAGGTCTGTAAGGGAGACGATCACATGAATCCCTGCAGAGTAGACGATAGCCAGAAAAAGCAACATTCGCACAGTTGCCATGGTTAGGACTGCTTTTCTCAAAAGCCCTTTTGTCAAAAGCACTCGGCAACAATTCACTTCCCTTCACTTCACCCTTCCTCTATGCATTCATGGCATGTTACATGCATGTATATATAAACAAAGTTAGTTTACAGTAATTAATTAAGATTAATGCTCATTAATTTCTGAGCAAGGAAGTCAATTCAATTGATATAAACGAAGGGCACCGTTGTTACTTTCACCGTTTCAACCGGCCGCCTGCGCATTACAGTAAGCAAAATGCCTTAAATATTGCCTTAATATTGCATTGGTGGATCCAATGGATGTAATTTCTAGATGTTTAGCGATATTTGCACAATTGAGTATATTCGGCAGACTTCGAAGATTCTTAAGTTCAACATTTGAAAAAATCTACTTTGTCGCTTAGATGAGAGTTGTAGATACAAAGAGATATATTCTCGGTTTTACAACAGACTTTCCTCCCCCCCTCCGTTCAGTAACTGGTTGACTCCCACTCTTCCAATTGCTGCACAAAAATTGCATAGAAGTTTCTAACCTTCATCCCAAAATTATTTTTGCCAACTTTCACATTTGTCTTTTGTACCGAAACAGATCATATTTGTCAAGAAGTGTAAAATTGTATGGATGCGATCCTTCCAATTTGACATTATCGAATAGCATCTTTTGATGAGATATATAAACAAGAGGCTTCGAGAAAACTAATGTTTTCTGAATTATATGAAGCCAGCAAGCAAACAGTGAATCCCCATGGGTATTTGAACCTGAGTATCCAGGAAAAAGCAGAATATTTGATGGAAAAACGGGATATCCTTTTGAACAACTTGTTATAATAGGAAAGTCTTATATCTTGAAATTAATTCATCAAGTTGATGATAAAATACATGGACGTTCCAGTGGACATTATGCACTTGATATACAACAAGCCGTTATGAGGAAGGGCCAAGCAAGGGGGACAACGGGTAAGAGAAATGAAAGTTTTGACTCTAGAGGAATTTGGTATTGTACATATTTTACAGGAGATGCTTACCTATAAATCTGATTATATTAGAGCTCACCAAAAAGTACTTGGTAGTATAATCATTGGAGGAACAATACCTAAACTCGAGGATTTGTAGTTAACAAAGTATGTTGTCTTCGACTACTTGTAGGTTCTTTTTTTTTATTTTCCTAATGGTGCACTCATCCACATCGAATCACAAATGGGCTCACCTGACCCCTTGACAAAGGATAGATTCTAGGGTTGAGGAGTGGTATATGAAAGTTTTCTCATTGGTTCCGTTTAGTGGTAAAAAGGTAAATATATTATCAGAAGAAACAAACAGCCTTATAAACTGTACAAGCATAGGTCCAAAGACAAAATTACACAAACAAGCAAATTGGAATAGCAAATGTCTGTGTGCCACATTACTCCCACGCTTAATTGGTAGTCACGTGTTGCGAAACCAAGGTAGAAGGGGCACTAACCACCACAGGATGAATAATTGGGCACAAATTGCAGACTTGCATTCTACATTGTACGTCCTAAGTTAGATTTATAGGAATCGCATAATAGTGGTTAGGGAGAGACTGAAATACATATGCGAATCTTTTAGTGACACGTATCACATGAAATAGAAATACCAAATTGACAGTATCATAACTTATTATGCAACGACACGTGTTTTAATATTTGCCAATAGGATCCTCTCCGGATTTTTTTGGTGATAATTCTAGGAATTTGTGAATCGTATCGTTCATCGTACATTTTTTGTCAGTTTTTATCAAGTTATGTTTGTGTTTAATTTTAAATAAAAATATTTAAAATGATTTCTGACCGTACAATGTACGATAAAAGGATACAATTTATGGATCTCCGGAATCCTCACAAAAAGGATTCAACGAGGATCCTAATTCTAATATTTGGAATTGGATCCTCTCCTGGGCTCAAGATGAGGATCTTCATGAGCAGCCCATCCGGACTGTTCAAATTTGATCTAACGACTGCAATTATTATAGATTAGGATCCTCTCCTGAGCAGATGCCTGACCAGACCCATTGGGCCGTTCAATTTTTATCCAACGGTTATAATTATTATAACTTTTAGAAGGATCCCTTGTTTGTAGTCGTTGGATAAAAATTGAACGGTCTGATGAGCCAAGTCAGGATGATCCTCTCCATTTGCTCAGGAGAGGATCCTGATCTAATTATTATAACTTTTAAAGGGATTCTGTTTGGAGGAGAAGATCCATCCAGTTCCCTAATATTTGACATTACATGATAGGTTTAAACTAAATTGGAACGTTCTCGAACAAATTGGAAGCAGAGACCAGAAACTCAAAATCCGACGGCTCGAAGACACATACCGATACAAACGCAAAGAGAAAAACAATGGCAGGCACACTGCTATCCCGGGCCTTTCATCTTCTCGCCTCTACTACCACCAAGTCTAATCCTTTCTACTCCGCCGTCTCCTCCCGCCTCAAATCCATAGCCGCCGCCAGCCACTCCAACAAAACCATCTCAGAAAACCATCACAGGAGTTCACTTCTTCCATTTTCACTTACCCCTTTTCGTTTCCATAACACCCTTAGAGGACGGAGCCATAGCTGCTCCTGCTGCGATTCCACCACAGAAAACCACCGTCGCCATAGCCGCGACGGTGAACCCAGCACCAAAATCAACACCAAGGTTAACTTCTCCCTCCCTTCCGACGACGAAGACGATGACCAAACTACGCCAACCGCCACCGCGAAAGAGATCGACAAGTCGAAGCTCCCTCCACCGTACGACCCTTTCAGCAAGAAGCCCGCCGTCGAGGACCCGGAGGACCCAAAGGACTTGCAAGAAGTCTTCCACAAAATGCGGAGCGACGGCCTCACCAACAATGCAGTCAAGATGTTCGACGCATTGTCTAAAGACGGATTGACCCACGAGGCCTTGGAGCTCTTTGCTCAGATTAAGGACAAGGGTCATATGCCTGACGTCGTTTCGCACACCGCCGTCATTGAGGCGTACGCCAATGCCGGAAAGACGAAGGAGGCTTTGAAGGTGTATTTGCGGATGTTGGCCTCTGGGGTCGCCCCGAACGCCTACACTTACAGTGTGCTGATCAAGGCGCTCGCGGCCGACCCTGGCAATTTTCCTGGGGATGCTAAGAAGTATTTGCTGGACATGATGGATAAAGGAATGCAGCCTAATGCCGGTACGTATACGGCTGTGTTTGAGGGGTTTGCGAGGCAGGATAGGGCGGAGGAGGGGAGGTTCTTACTGGAAGAGATGAAGGGTAAGGGGTTTGCACCGGACGAGAAGGCGGTGAGGGAGGTTCTTAAGAGCAAAAGAGGACCTATAGTTAGAACCGTCATCAACATTCTGTTTGGCAAGTAGATCGATTTTGCTCATTTCATTTGTTCTCTGTTCATCTTCGTTGAAAATTGAAATGTTTAGCATTTGAAATGAAATCCTAGTTTAATTCGAGCGATATTCTAATTTAATGAACACGTACATTTAATGATTATAATGCCAAAACAAAATACATGAGTGGGAGAGAGAGCAGTTCAAACATAATTCCTATAACTAAGTACAGTTCAATTCGTTTCTTGTAAGACTCTGGAGGAGCATCTCCCAATCTCATTGACATTGCACAGCCCACAAACACAAAACAGTAGAAAGCAATGCCTGCCGGCAGTGGCAGCAGCTTCTAACCCGCCATTGGTGCTGAAAAACTGACGTTTAAACATGCACGGAACCCACCAATGGTGACGGAAAACTGATGTTTAAGGAAGCATGTCTAGAATCCTTGTTTGGTAGGGCAATCCGATGCCCTGTGGCCAGACTGCCCACAATTGAAGCAGGAACCTCCAAAGCTTCTGAAACTGCAAATTCAGATACCATTTCAGTGTTAACTGATGTGTTGCGAATTTCTCATTGTGCTATTTCTGACACGAGAAAGGATGAGAAAGTAAGAAGATAATATACCTGTCTCGGGATGGTGACCTGCTTGATCGTTGGCCTCCAATAAGCCAATCATCATCTATGCTTCTTGGACTCCGAGGTCTGCTGTTACTAGATCCATAACTTCGGCCACTACTCCTAAATGAATCGTCGGCACCACCATCACTACCCCAACCCCTGGAGCTTCGGAAACCACCTGATGATCCTTGACGATCCCTAGAACCTCCTCCCCGGCCTCCTCCACGACCTCCTCCTCGGCGATCTCTGCTTGAAAACCTGCCGTAGTAGTCACTCACCGGCCCATCATCTTGCAGGGCTGGCAACTGCCAACACACACACGACACCAATGTTAGTAGCTTTTCATGCAAAAGCCGCTGTTGTGAGAAAATGACGAAAAGCAAAAGTAAACCTTGGATATCTTGGAAACAGTGTTTCCAGGAGGTATTTGCCTAGTCAGCAACTCTTTGGCAATCTCCTCTGGAAGATCAAAGACTGCTCCTTGAATCTGATATTATCACCATCAAAATTCAAAATTTGTTTTAATGAATTGAATTGATGCACTAATCAAAATAAACATGAGATGTTGTAGATACAAACCCGTTCATCTGCAATTATATGTATTTTTCCAACTTCATCAGCAGCCGTAGAATAAACATCTGAAAGAAACCCAGTGACAGATCTAGCAGACAGGAACCCTCTGGCAAAAGATGGATCTCGGATAAGTTGCAATGTCGTCCATCCCTGCATATAATTTTACAGTTCGATTAATATACCAATACCAGAACTGCGCTGAGATTACACATGCTCCAAAAAACTGGAAAATAAGATGCACTTCACATTCTACGGTATTTAATATCCAGAAGGTTACTTGAGTGTGTGATTATTTAATTTCAAAATGAACCATACAGGATATCATGAGTAAGAAAATAAGTGAGCATTTGAAAACATCTTACTGCTCCACCAAATTTCAAGAAAATAAACTACTATACAGAAAATTAAGCGTTTATTGACTTCAATTATTACCGCCTCATGGGTGATAAGGGACTTGGATGATGGAGGTCGAGAAAATCCACTGAGCTGTGCTAGTGCAGCAGCAAGAGCACTTGTTCCCTGTTCATCAATCAATCTCTGTGCTGTTGGTGTGAAAAACTGTACAGATTCAGGATGCACTCCACTAAGAGTAGCAACCACGTGCTGCGCAGATGACTCCAAAACCTCCTCAATAGTTGGTGGACTAGCAAACTCAAACTTGCACCCCACATCACGCTCAAGCGTTTTAATTGTTCTCCTCTGGTTGTTAGTAAACATCAGAACGGCAGTACCTTCTTTCCCTGCACGTCCAGTACGCCCAGAGCGATGCACAAATGTCTCTGAATCATTGGGAAGCTCGTAGTGGATAACCTGGAAGGAAAAAAAAAAAAATTGCAGCCAAAGGCTTATCAAGGTGTTGGCAATTGATATATTAAGAAAACATCTAAATCTATTTCTGGCATACAGAGTGGTAATAGTTTCATATACACATATACAAGGATCCATAAAACTATACTAAAAATTTGATTAGCCCAAGCCTACCAAATCAACATTGGGAATATCAAGTCCACGGGATGCAACATCAGTGGCAACGAGCACAGTGAATTTCCCTTGCCGAAAACCATTTAATGTTCTCTCTCTTTGATGCTGTGAAATATCTCCATGCAATGCCTCAGAAGCTATGCTACTTGTTAATGACATTGAGACTTCATCAGCATCTCGTTTTGTTTGTGTAAATACAATGGTCTTCCCGCCCTTTGCGTACACCTGAAGATATGACATTCTTCAGAGTTGTGTGGAAAATGTTTCCTTTTTGAAGTAATTTAGAGCTATGCAGATTCATATTATAATCAGCATCACCATCTTTATCATAAACTAAACAACTTTCAAGGGAAAACACCACAACAACATTAAAGATCATATTAAAAAGAGAGGCAACTCTACTCGATACCTACATATCATACGTATGAGCCAAAACAAGAGTCAGTAATGAGTTCCAACTCTTACCGTTATAAGATCACTAAGAATGGTCTTCTTTGAAGCTGAAGTGGTTGATAAAGCATAAAGTTTGATCCCTTCTGCAAGCTTCTCGTCTTGGTCGCCAACCTTTGGGAAAAAAGAAAGTAGAAAAGGAATTATGTAAGACTCACTTTCCACTCTACAAACATACAAGATGCAAAATTTATTAATTAGCTTTTCCTGTATTACAATTTTCATATCTACCGCATTGCTTTAAACAACTACAACTTCCATCAGCTTTAAGTGTTCAATATCCAGTAAAAATATTTTAGGCATCACTCTATGCCACATTCTAATGACAGATATACAAATAATGAAAGTTTTAAACTTAACAGAAGAAAGAAAGAAAAGAACAACGACATTTACCAAATCAATTGTCATTGGATTGTCCAAATATTTCCGCGATAGTTTTTTCACCCAACCAGGCATGGTTGCAGAAAAAAGCATGCTCTGCCTCTGAGCTGGAAGCTTTTGCAGAATCACTTCCACATCCTCCTCAAATCCAACAGCAAGCATTGAATCAGCTTCATCAAGTACCAAATATTGAACTTCGCCCAATTTGAGGGTGTTGCCGTTTATCAGGTCAATAATCCGACCAGGAGTTCCAACAACTACATCAACTCCACGGGAGAGAGCACTTTGTTGAGTTATGTAGGAAACTCCCCCATAGACACAAACGGTGTTAAGATAAGGTGCAGATTCTTTCATCTCCTTTTCGACTTGCTTTGCCAACTCCCGAGTAGGTGCAAGCACCAAAACTCTTGGAAGATAACCAGTCCGCCTACAAAAACAGAAATTTATCACATATTTTCCAAAAGAACATGTCTTTAGATATAATGTGAATAATAAGCTTCACAAATGGTACCTATGAGAGCCTCCCTGTTCATCATCTTCTGTGAGACGCTTGAGTATTGGGATTCCAAAGGCTAATGTCTTTCCAGTCCCTGTCTTGGCACGCGCAATGATATCTCGACCTTCAAGTGCAGGTACTAGAACAGCTCTCTAAACATTTTCAACAGAGAAAGCTATCACTAAACCACTACATACACCTACATACATATATATACACACATATACATATATAGGGCTCGGGGTTTAGGGTTTAGATTATTAGGGCATCTTTTAAACTGTTATAATCTGAAGAAAGCTTACATTTTTATCATAACACACATAATTTTACGGATAATGCTCAAAAGGGTTCCAAGAAAAACTAAATTACAATTAATTCATGGTATAATTAGCACTAAATTCCAAAGAAATAGATAAGAGAAGCAAAACCACAGAGAGAAATGAAGCACCTGAATTGGGAAAAGGCTCGATATGCCACGTCTCTCAAGGCTATCAAGAAGCCGCTGAGGCAAACCCAGTTTGGAAAGGGCGAGCTCATCGTCGTCACTGGCAGCAGAACCCGGCTCGGTTTCCGACTCGTACTCCAAGTCCGAGTCGAGGCCGTCCTTCGAAAAGTCACCGAGTCCCTTAAACGCCTCTTCACTGAGCACCGAGTTCGGAGTCGCAATTGCCGAACAAACGACACCGGACCCCTGCCTAACCAACCCACTCTTTCCTCTCAAAACACTGTTGAAGTGCGCCCTCTCCGGGAACGCAAGCGAAAGAGTAGCACTACTCGTCGTCGCCGCCGCCGGCGCAGCTCTTCTGTACAGCTCGCTGCACGGAGTCTGGGAATATACAGAGGAAACTCCGATGATAGAAGTCATTTCTGCAACTACAGCAGAAATGGTATAACAACTCTCTTCGCCCTGCTTCTTCCTTCTTCCTCCTCCGTGCACGCAAGGCGTTTGCTGAAATTCCTCAGAGAAGAAGATAGAGGATAACGAGGGAGGAAGGCTCGGAAGATATCGTTATTAGGTCTGGAGGATTGAGAGCGGAGAGGAAAGCGCCGCTGTGGGTTTATATAGACAAGGGGCAGAGGAGTGAGAGTGAGAGTGTGAGGGAGATAAGGCCGCAGTCCAGCCCTTTGGAGAACGCATGGCCTCCCAAACCTCCACCTCGGTTAATATTTTCTCCCCGAAAACCGGATATTTCTTGCCGGGTCGGAATTCAAACTGCGGATCGACCCGAAGAACCGGCTTTCCTATTTACCCGGCCGTTATTACATTTTGCCTTTTTATCCAAGTCGTTAATTCATCATGAGAAATGCTATCAAACTCCTTCAAATTTATACTCTCTACAGATTCTTTATTAAATTATATTTTTAGCAAATTATTTTATAATGTTAAAATAAAAATTAACTTTAAACTATAAAATGACAAAAATTTATGCAGAATTTCACACATATTATACAAAACTCATATTATACAAAACTATGATAATGTAAAGCTCGTTTGGATGTACTTTTAAAATGATTGAAAACGCTTTTACAAAAAATGTTTTTGGGTTTCAAAAGCACTTGAAATGCTTTCTACAAGAAGCACCAGTATATGCTTCTTCCAGAAAGCACTTTAAGTGCTTTTCCAAAATTTACTTACATTTTTACTAAAGATTTATTCTATAAACATTTTCACAAAAAACGCTTTCAGTAATTTTAAAAGCACATCCAAACGAGCTCTTATGGCTTGTTTGAAAAGTGCTTTTAAAATAACTGCAAGGGTTTTAGATGAAAATATTTTCTAATCAATTATTAATAAAAATACAAATAAATTCTATAAATATATTTAAAATGTTTTCTATAAGAAGCACATAATTCATGTAGAAAAAAACTTCAAGTATTTTTGAAATTAAAAACTAATTTCTTGAAAAACGATTTCAATAATTTTAAAGAAACTTCTAGACGAGCCCGTATTGCAGTCAATCTCTAAAATTCATACGGTTAATTGAAAAAATATAATTTGTTTACGTGATAATTGCAAAAATATTCGATAATAACTGTAAACACAGCTATCATCGAATAGAAGTTTAAAAAAAGATTGGGGATTTATCAAATTTCATTTCATAAAATTTTCATGGTGGATTCCCATTTTTGTCGATTAATTGTAAATACAGCGGGAGTGGAAGCAGCCGTCGTTAGATTCCAGCTAGTAAAGCATTTCGTGTGGGAAGCCATTTGCTCGAATTGCTTCCTCTTCTTCTTCTTCCTTTGATCTATCGGACCAGCTTTTCGCATCTGGTTCGCAGATCTCCCTCGAAATTCACCGCGCTTTCAATTTCTAAATCCTTGGAACTCTTCAAAGGTATGTTTTGCTTCGAACTTTCGCTTTCAATTTCGTCTACCCCCAATTAATTTCGGTCAAAACCTTAATTTCCATCCGATTGAATTGAGCTTTTTTCAATTCTCAATTTTTAGTAATTTTTAAAAAATTTTGGGGTTTTTTTTTTCAACGGTTGCAGGCGTTTCAAGCAATTTCAAATAGAGTGTGGGGGTTAGGGTTTACGAATTCCCCTTCCCTTCCCTCACTTCGATGGAATTCTTCAACTTGTAGCAAGCAAAGCTTGTTGCCTTAGAGGGAGAATAGACACTGCTGGTGTTGCTCAGGTTTTGATCATTCGATAGCCCTTTGTTTTCGTGGGTGTAAATGTGTATGTTTTGCTAGTACTTTTGAGTTTTTATTGCAATTAATGTGCAAAGGGGTTTGATTGGATTAAGTTTTCGGAATGGCGGAGTCGACCCCAATCTACCTGAGCATTATTGCTTTTTTCTGTACTGTTGGAGCCATGGCTTTGGCCATTATGCACATCTACAGGCACCTCATGAATTACACTGAACCGACTTATCAGAGATACATTGTCCGCATCATCTTCATGGTCCCGGTGAGTACTTAATTCGAAGAAAAAACCCACTATGAAATGCTATGCAAATGCATTCCCACATGAAGACTTGGGTTTAGTTCTTTGTTTTTACCTTTTAGGATTTGTTCAATGTATTTGAATTTAAAGAAATTATACGAGAATATAGTGAAAATGGTTCTTTGTACGTGGTTTACCTGCTTCATATTATCTGGCCGTTTAATTTTCCAATCTGATAGTGTGAGTGCATGCTTTCTTTCCTGAATAAGCCTGTTATGGTCATGCGTACGCTATAGAATGAACAAAGTAAGGCCAGAAGAACAAAAGGTTTTGAAATTTGAAGATTGAGATAGAATCAGTGGAACTCTTGCATTCTTTGTTACTGTAATCTGTATTGATAGAATCAGTGGAACTCTTGCATTCTTTGTTACTGTAATCTGTATTGATAGAAATTTCGTTTGTTTGGGTATTGGTTGAACATCAAGATATGCATTTCTTCGCATTTGTTTTGTACGTAACCAATATGAACTTTGTTTTCCTTTACAGGTATATGCATTGATGTCGTTCTTATCCCTTGTTAATCCTGCGGGTTCAATCTACTTTAATTCCATTAGAGAAGTGTAAGTATGTCTTCATTTATTCAAATGTTTCACTGCACGTATAATTGATAAGAATACTTTGTTTATCTTCTGGCCTTCTTTGCCTTTGTTTCCCATTTTAGATAAGAACATAGAAAGGGATAAAGTAAAGGAGGAAATTGTTTCCACCATTTTCCCCTTAAATTCCAGGTATAAGGGCAAACCTCTTGTTGAGAGAGAATCCTGTGAACCCAAGGGAAAATGTTCCTCCCATTTGTTTCTCTCTCACCCTCGTACTTGCTCATTCTCACCTGTTTATTACCCTCTAGGGCTCAAGTGTCAGTTTGTCTGATTATTGCAGGCACTATATTGTTTTATTCTCATGCTATTTTTTTTTTTCCCATTCTGTTTCAGCTATGAAGCTTGGGTCATTTATAATTTTCTATCACTGTGCTTGGCATGGGTTGGCGGCCCAGGATCTGTTGTTGTAAGTCTCAGCGGTAGGGTTCTAAAGCCTTCCGTGGTTCTGATGACATGTTGCCTCCCTCCCATACCCCTGGATGGGTGAGTACAATCTATGCTTAATTTACCAAGATGTTATCTGCAAGCCAGGAATTTGTGTTGTAAAAAGAATCACAAAATTCTGAATTACACAGGAACATCTTTGTCTATTTCAGTTATCTAGGTACTATTTTCAAAATGTTTCTCGGTTTTCATTTAACTTGTGAATATCTTGTTTAAACTTACATGCATAAAATCAGGCTTCTTACATAATGGGAAGATTCCGTGCATGACTAAGGAGATTTCTGGACAATATTGAGATTTTGTTATATAACAATATGTCATCGTATTATACGTATGAGATGATTGTTTGATAAACTCACACATATGAAACTGTTAATGCAGGCGCTTTATACGTAGGTGCAAACAAGGATGTTTGCAGTTTGTGATCCTGAAGCCTGTATTAGCTGTTGTTACCCTCATACTTTATGCTAAGGGGAAATATGCAGATGGAAATTTCAGTCCAAGACAGTCATACCTGTATCTCACTATTATCTACACTATCTCATACACAACAGCTCTCTATGCTTTGGCATTGTTTTACTTTGCTTGCAGAGATCTACTCCAGCCCTTCAATCCAGTTCCAAAGTTTATTATAATCAAATCTGTGGTTTTCCTCACTTATTGGCAGGTAAACGTTTTTCTCACTGTATTAGTCATAGTAATCTACTTATTGTTCAGTGTCTTGTGTATTAACAATTTGCACTTGGTTGTTGATCACATTCTTATGCACTAAGAGCAGAAGATGATTTCTTTTAAAAGCAGTTTTTGAGTATGGATGGCATATATTGCCTCATTAATTTAAACAAACTATATGGGGCCAAACTTCCTTTAGGCTCACCAAATGCTGCTTGAAAATGGGGAACTGTGAAATAGGTGCACATTAGTAGCAGAATGTGGATAAAAGTTGGTGCATATAACCTTGGATTATTCATATGATACTAACTTGTAACTGTGTATAAACATATACCAAAGAAATAACTTTGTCGTTTATTCCTATTATTTCATAGAAGAGAGCTATAATTTGATTTGCAGTATTGTATTTTATGTTCTTGTCTGTTTCCCTTTCCTTTTTTTGTTGATAGTGAAGTCTAAGTTTTTAACTTATTCAATGTTTCTGATTCTTATTGTCTGCCATTTAGGGTGTGTTGGTCTTCCTTGCTGCGAAATCTGGGTTAATAAAGAATGCAGAGAATGCTGCTCAGTACCAAGATTTCATAATATGTGTTGAGATGCTTATTGCTGCTATTGGTCATTTATATGCATTCCCTTATAAGGAGTATGCTGGTGCAAATATTGGCGGGCCTCGAGGTCTGACTGGAAGCCTCTCACATGCCGTAAAGTTGAATGACTTTTACCATGATACAGTCCACCAGGTGAGCGTTTCAAATTATTTTTTTCTGATATCCCCTTGCATAAGAGTTCTCTTTTAGCTTTGCTCAACCTTTCTGATGAGAATATTGAACTCTGTGCAGTTTGCCCCTACTTACCATGATTATGTACTCTACAACCCTAGTGAGGGTGACGAGGGGAAGAGGAAGTATCGGTCACGCACCTTTGTGCCGACTGGCCCAGAGATGGATACTGTCAGAAGAAACAAGAACATGTTTGGGAACAAGATAGATGACATACAGCTTTCAAGTCTTTCATCTTCTAGCTCAAGCACCCCAGATAGTTCTGGTCCAGTACCCAAGTCTGCGAGTTCAGATGCAATAAAGTCTTCCCTTCTTGTTGATACCTCAAATTCTGCATCAGTGCCGTATGACATGTCACTCATCGACTTAGACTTGAACAGTTACCCCGCAAAGGTTCCTTCAGCAAATGAAGGTGGCACTAGGTGACAACGATAATCTGTGGTAGACTCGTATGAAGAATATTCTTACAAGGAAAACAGTTTTAAAATGTCTCTGGGGCCTTCGGGAAAGCTTCATTTGCTTAATAGTGTGGTGAAATTGGTGCTGGGTATACTCCCTTTTTCTCTCTGTGGTTTGATATGCACTTTCGTCACTAATATCTTGCTTCCCACTGAGATTGTTTTCAATGTCTTGTTTTGTAGATATGGAAAATCTAATTGTCATACTTGCTAGGTCACAATAGGAAAATCGATTTGGTTTTTTCGCATTTTTCGTTGCACGATGAAAGAGTTCTGTTGTCTGTTGGATGTCTTGGACTTGACATTGAAATATTATTCTGAACTGTAACATGGTACATGGTTCATGTTTATTCATTTTTTACCTTCTTTCGAGCGAATCGAACTTTATATTCCACCTCTCTTGATGTCTTAGATGATAAGTATTTCTGTTCGACGAAAGGTTTGAAAAATGTGTTTGATGCAGACCCACATAAACACCTGTTCTTTGGTGGATTGATTGAGGTGCTTATTCATTTACTTTGATGAGGCAATGATGATGTTAGACTAATGTTAGTCTGGCAACAACTCCATGACTATCGGGTTGCTTTCGCTGCGAACGAAAGCGACGTGCTTCTGGATATATTCTTTATAGATGGCCCTTGATTTTGGTTTTTGCTGGATTGGTTTTGAATTTTGTTTAAGTTTGCTGAGGTGGAACAGAAATTGTTTTGATGACTTTTAGAAGCTAAGTCCACCCAATGACTCTTGGTGCATCTGATTTGAACTTTGAGGTGGTGTGATTGACAAGGGAGTTGCAAAACAAGACTGTCTAAATTGCATGATCTACTTGTAAGTGCTAAACTTGTCAAGGTAGATAATGCAAAATGTATTGAGTTTGTTGAGACTAAATGCTTAATCTCTTCGCTAATTGGTATTTGGGGAGTTAATCTATGTTCTAATTGGTATTTGGGCAGTTAATCTGTGATCTAATTGGTATTTGGGCAGTTTTCTTATCTTACGCAAGTTACCTAAGCACCCTGGCTTATCCGTATTACTACTCTGTTGTTGCTGCTTCAAGTCAAAACAACACAAGGATTTCCAAAATAGTTAAACAAACAATAGAATGTGATCAAATTCTAATTGATGACTCGATTGGAACATTTTTTTAATCGGTGATGGAAATCGAACATGAGACCCCAGATGTGGTGTAGATGTGAATGTCTTTAATTACTTGAACTACAAGCATATAGTGATGTGTGGTCAATGTGGGGTTTTGTTGATGGCCGTTTGTTTTTCATTTTACATACAGTAAGAGTATTTCGTATAATTTTGATTAATTAAACTAACTCTCGTCTGCAACGGTTCTTACCTTACTTTAATCCATTTGAGTTGACAACTCATAGGGCAGTGATTTACTTAGACACAATGAATTACCTAAGTAGAATCCCACCAAACATAAGCTACAATTCTAGGATTGGTCCTGGAATAACCTATGAAGTTAAAAGGATGTTCATGTAGGGTAAAAAATAAAATAAAAGTGGAAGAAACAAAGTCCAAGAAGAAAAGGCAAGGGGAAAAGCAAGACACAAAAGGCATGTGACCGTCCATCTAAAATGACCACTATCCACGTGTTAAAGCAAGATTACTATATAACACATGAGAGAGAGAGGAGGGGACTATAATTTTAGATAGAGAAGAAGAAGTAAGGTGTCACTACTTCCGTTGTAGGTAAGTTTCTCTCCTCGCTTCAGCAAGCGCTCATGTGGCGGCGCAGTCGTCGCTTGCCTATTGCCTTCCTAAGCAAAACGGCAAACCCAACTTATGCCTTAACCCACCCAAGGTTCGTCGAATTTATGCAATCTTAAGAGTCTCCCACAAACCTTTATATTTCTCTTTAAACCGCACCGTTACTCTTCATCTTCAACCTCCAGATTTCATACACCCAAAGGAAAGACAACAAATCCCTCTCCTCTCCTCTCTCTCTCTCTCTCTCTCTGCGTCTCTGTTGTTTCTCTCCGGCTGAGTTCTCCTCCATGGCCGGCCTGTGGGGACAGAGCTTTCACCACGTGGGAACCGACCCATCAATCAGCAGAAGCACCTCATTGGCTAGGAGTACTAGCAGTGGGTCCTACTACAACAGCTACATGGAGCAGGGAAGCAGCAACTACACGTTGATGGAGAAAAGGCAGCTTTTTCTCAGAAGCTACCAGTTCAGCAGAAAGAAGAGCCTGACGGAGAGGATAAAAGGGTCTTTTTGCAAAGTCAAGAGGGTGATATGCCTGCGGCTGAGGTCGGCGAGGAAGCTCCGGAAGTTGGTTTGTTTCAGGCTCAGATATGGCGTTTCTTACCGGAGAAGAAGACTCTGCCGTCTGCTGAATAATTACCGTCATACCCGCAAATGCGATAAGTCCTATTGCTTCTGGTAGGGAGTACTCGAAACTCGTGTCAATGTCTAATTCTTCTCTCTCCCTCTGTTTTCGGGTTTCTTGTACTTATTTTTTAGCCATCTCCAATCGAAATTAAATATTTTCTGACTCTTTTCTGCACCGATTGGGTCGGAAGGTTAAAAGAGGAGTGCTAAAATTACTTAGTCTTACAATTTCTTTTGTTTATATGTAATTTCAAAGAAAAAAAAAGTGGTGCTTGAACTTGAAAGCATTAGAATTTGTGGTATTAGATTCACACCCCACAATTGATCTTGTTTCCAAGAGTATTAAAAAAAAAAAAAAAATATATAAAAGAGTTATATATGGTGGGTTTTAGTATTTTTGGGTGATTTATATTTATGTCTTAAAAACTTGTTCATAATGTAGTTAAACTGTATTTTTATATCGTTGAAATTGTTGATATTAGAGTTGTCGATTATCGATTGGTATGATTGTCGACATATCACCATCACTATAAAATAAAATAAACTGTGTTTCTAATTGTTATGAGAATCCCGAAATAATAATTTGCATGATGAGGTTGAGAATCTCAGAGTATAATGTAATGGAGGCCACCATCCGGCTTGGGGTTTGGTTTCTAGGTTACGCAGAGTTTGAGGTCGATTTTGGAAGAGGTAAATGGAAACCGATGTGGAAATCTATCAAGTTCAAAGTTTGAGAACTTTGAGTATCAAGGGAGTTGCAAACCCACAGAAAAGTCAAACAGTTCAAAGATCCAAGTTTGAATGAAAGCGATGAAGCAATAAGTCAGTATTGTGGAAGTGTGACTTTTGCACTTTGCATGCTGTTACAGTTGAAATTGATCACACAACTATATTGCTTTTACTTCTCTTCCTTTTTTTCTCTCTTAGTGGTTCGCTTTGCTGGCAGGATTTTCTCTAGTGCGGGATAAATCTTGCACTACAATTACGGGTTATGAGTAGTTGGTCGATATTCCGCTCATATCTCGCGTTGGAGAACTTGTGTTAAGTAGTATTACAGGTCTACAGTACAGTTTTGATTCATGGGGCATTGGTATTTCCATCCGTCACCAAAAATTATAGGTAGGATAATGAGACCAAATAAAAGAGTCAATAAAAACTACATGCCACTGAATTAAGTGTTCTATAAGTTAGACTGGCCGTCTTATTAACTTTCACCTCGTCGAATTTAACTCTTTGTTTACTACGCATATGCGGGTTAGGGTACTGCGTCTCTCCTTGCACCATCGTTTAAGTCTTGTTTTATAAATCAGAGTAGTTTATAACAGAATAATGTTAGAGAGATCATATTCTGTAGACCGCATGATGTAACGATTGATATTTGAATTTATTTTTAAATCGGTAAAAATAAAATCTAACTATCAACTTCAACCATGTAATTTACAAAATATGTTCTAAACCCTACTTTAAATCTAATATTTTACTCCATTATAAATTACGACCAAAATAAAGTGGCATGGTGGAGCAAGCAGAAAGCTCTGGTCATTTATATAAATATAATCACATGCCTAATGGCTTCATATGGAATCAACGTCAAGGGATAGGTGGAAATCTATGAATATAAAAATGAAGGGGCAAGATTAATCAATATTTAGTTACATTCTGCAGTATCGGGACAGATGTATAAAAGGGCTTTTCCTTTAGTGTTCATCTTTAATTCAACTTTTTAATGGATTCGCTGGGAAGGAGGAAGAAGAATATTTCATTTCATGTGCTGACAGAGACAGATCCAATTACTTGGGATGAAAATTTAAGAGCGAGAGAAGAGAAACTTGGATAAGATAGTTTTGACATCAGATAAGGATTTTCCTAAAATCAAGTGTTAGAATCGGGTGCGATCAAATACAGAATAACATAATAGGATAGTATGGCCAGATCAATCACGTATCCAAATTGCCTTACTCAAGTTTTCATGAACAACTCATCATCTAGATGTATGTAGTCAGTTGACATTTCACAAAAATTAGGGGAGAAAAGGATACGTGCCTGTACAGATAGATACCGGCATTAGAGATGTTTAATCTAGTGTAAATTAATAGTATTTGGTTAATTATTTCATACATTTGTCTAAAATTTACGGAAAAAAGATGAATCACGTTTTGTTGCATGTGTTTCCTGATCAAGAAAAAATGGTTCCTTGAGAAATGGAGGATGAAATGGCACTCGCTGGATAAGAAACATGTACGATATATATTATACTAATGTTTTGGCTTCCAAAGTCAACCAGATTTAAAGAACTGGCTGCATGGCAACGGTGACACGGAATTTTTTGGGTACTTTGAAGTATTGGATATTCAAATATTTTAATTGTTAAATTTTTGTTTAAAAATATAAAAATTTAATTTAATGGTTAAAAGATCTTAGTCTGGAGCACCTAAATTTTTTTTACGCATATACTTGCTAATAAAAATAAATAAAAAATAAGATCGTGTTGAAAACTTTGTTTATAATTATTCTAGATTGGATCTAGCCGAACTGCAATGGTAAGAGGAAAACTTTGTTTAACATTTGCCATGGGGCAGATCTTGTAGTAATCATAGGGGTGGGCTATAATTTTCTGTTTTTCATATATTACGTGCGAATGACTAACTAGACTTTTTTGAATGTTTTGGAATATTTAATATTTTGAGTGGTTTAACCGTTAGATCTTTATTTTAAAACTAACACTAAGTTTTTGGTTTTTCAAAAACACGCACGCCGCGTGTGACATCCCGTCCCGGAATTATCGGAAACGTACGTGCGAAATTACCATTTTACCCCTAGTTTGTTTTGTTATGTTGTTTTTGGTTGTTTTGTGTGGTGTTGGCCAGAGTTGGACCCCACACACACACACACACTGTCCCTATCCCTCTCACTGTCTTTCCCTGTCTCTCTCTCTCTCCCCCGAGCTCCCTTCTTTCTTTCTTCTTCTTCCTTCGAGTGTACAGACAAACCCAAAACCCACCAAATCTTTGCAGATCGTGGGCACCAAGTACACCATCAAGTTCCTGAGGCTAAGAGGAGTCCAGTGATGCCATTTTCAGGTAAGAACCTCGACGTTTTCACGTCGATTTCACAAGGTCCGTTTTAGTCACTGTTCATGCAAGATTATTTTAGCTAGTTTTTGGACTTTTGGAGCTTACAGTTGTGTTTGTGAGGTTCCCAGGAGCTTGGGAGTAGCTCGTTGGGTGGATTTGGACGTTGGATTAGCTTGGTCCAAGTTTGACCGATTTTGGTAATTGGTGACAGGTGAGTTCTCGTGAGTTTTAGTTCTTAAAACTTATAGGGACATGTTCTACTAGTTCTAAGGGTTAAAATGGTGCAAAAATCATGAAAAACGGTTGAAAAACGAGCGAGAAAACCCAAGTTGCAGATTTTCCGGCGACGGTGCCGGCGCCGGCGACTCGCCGGAGAAGGTGACGGAATATTCCGTCAGGATTCTGACGGAATATTCCTGACGCCGTTAACGGAATCTGTCAGTTTTGACGGAATATTCCTAAAGGCGTCAGTTGACGCCGTCAGTGTGCGCCACACGTGCCTGCGCGTGGCCGGCGCGTGTGGCCGTGCCTTGGCCGGCGCGTGCGGCGGAGGAAAATTATTTTAAAAATATGGTTGTGATCCTGAGGTTGTGTAGAGCACGTTGGTATATTCATTTGTCCATTTTGAGCAATGTATGAGAAGTTATTTTGAACGGAAGGTTATGTGCTTTAAAGTTAACGTTTTTATAGTTAATTCGCATATAGGTGACACGTATCCCGAGGACGAGCGTGCACACTCGAGGCAGGGGGGCTACGACCCTTCCACATACCAGTGAGTGGGCTTTTTGTTTTCCGTATATACCTATATACATATTAATTCCCAGAAATTAGTATAAATGCTTCGTTATATGCCATTCCTTTTATATAATTGGTGGTTATGCATGATTAGTGGCATATACGTTTATTTATATATTCAATTATGCATATGTCATATATATATGTTGATGCTGTGGAGGCATAGGTAAGTGCCAGGTAAGCGTTATTTAACGATTGCATTAAATAGTGGTTAGAGATGCTTAGAGAGCTCATAACCTGCACCCCCGGTGTTAGTGCTCCCGCCCAGAGTAGGGCACAGTCCTTCACATGTTGTTCACCTCCCGCACCACACGCTCAGCTTGGATCCAAGTTAGGTGCACAGTCTTGTCGTACAGACCATTATAGGTGGTTCCGACTCGTAGGTGACCCACGATTATTCGCACAGCCTTCACGTGATCGTAGCACTAGAGCGTTTATATGTATTACACCCAGTCTTGTCGTACAGACCACTATAGGTGGTTCCGAATCGTGGGCAGATTTAGTGATTGAGATGGAGATTTGAGCTCTAGATTCAGCCGTACAGGTCACTTAGGGGACTCCGGCTGCCAGATGTTATGCTATTGATGTGATTTACACCTGAGCACTTGCATATCATTATGATGGTATACCTTTGAACATGATTGGCATATTTGTACATACGTATATATGTTTATTTTCTGGGAAGTATACAGGTTTTACGGCGAGGGGTTAGAATGTATTTTATGAAATGGTTTTCAAAGAATTTGTTTTGCCCACTCACGCTTTTGTTTTGTGCCCCTCCAGGTTCTAGTAGCTTAGCGGGTTTGGTGGTTTTCCCAGATGACGTCCCGGCATTTCTGACAGACACTCACCTATGTAGGGTCACCTTCGGGTGCACTATTGTTGTATCGTTTCTTTTGGACTGCTGTAGGCTTTAGGCTCTGAATTCAGCGACTTACTTACGCTAGCACATACTTTATCACATTATATTTGCTAGTTTTTAAATTATTCGTACTTTTATATTATTTCCTTTAGCTTCCGCACTGTGCACATGGCTACGTCACTTCCACGTGACGGCCAGCATGCCCTGATCTCGGTTGGGGTGTGTCACCGCGTTACAACAGTAACTTCAATTTAAGGTTGGTTCCGCCCTTGAGATAATTGAATAGATTAATTCAGGCTATCAACCTAAAAGCTAGAACATGATAGAAATTAGAAAGGTTTCACTTTTGGGTGAATAATTTTTGGTTTTGGCAGTTATATCATGGCAACAGAGAGACCATAAAGCCACTCAGCAATTGGTATCGTATTATGAGAGAGACCAAGTGCCTAATTGTTTGCTCATCTAAAATGTGCACAACTAAAATTCGAGGAAAGAAGTGTTTGATTGGTTTCAAGGGTCATGTGATTAGATGCTGAGGCAGAACTTATCACTTTTCTTTGTGCTTTCTTAGAGCACTTTTCATCCGTTTTGCCTATGCAAGAGCAGGCCATCGACAGTTACTATTCATTCTAAAAAGTAATTGTCTGTGACTCCAGGCGTTTATTATTGCCATGAGATTACTATTCATACATATATATATATAGCTGGTCTTATCCTCTACGTGTCGTTATTACCTTAGATTTCGGCTGAGATTTTTAACCACTTTCATCGCATCAAGTGTTAATATCCATTAATAATATCCACTCATTTTTTGTAAGATTTTTGACCATTCACGTCGCCCTCACATATCCTTATCCGATCTTTTAATTTCCTCATATTTCTTCATAAAACCATTCAACCCACCAAATGTACACACACCAATCACCTCTATCCTCCGTACTCATCTCCATTCATAGATTTCTTTTAAAGAGAGTTTTAACGAAACACTCATGGTACTGTTCACTTTTAACATTAAGGACATTTTTACTCTAAAAAGTCACTATTGATACTATTCACTTACAAAACATTTTTGTCCTTTTGGTTCAAATTCAAAATTTTCAATCCATTTTCATTAGTTTTTTTTTTATTTTTAAAAAAGATAGTTCTTTCAACAATGTCTAACATGAGGAGATTGCTAGAGAGCCAAGAGCAAGAAATTGGATTCGCCTGAGAACCGAGGGAGAGGTCGTGGAGAAGTATTCGGAGGATGATTATAGTCCTTGCTGCGGATCCTTCCCTTAAACTATCATGTCTTTAGTTCAGATAATCATAAAATTCTTAGGATCCTTCCCTTAAATTCTGTCAAATTTGAGCCAAGGAATTGATGACCCAACCAAATTTTGGGCTGTTCATACAACCTGAACCAGCCTCTCTCAGTAGGCACAAAATGCAATTGGGTCCAGGTTTCCAAGCCAGCTCAAAATAAAGTGCACAAAAATACAAAATAATCTTCATAGAGCTAGTTTGGAAGTAATTTTAAAATGATTGAAAACGTTTTTGAAAAAATTGATTTTGGAAGAAGCAACATATATGCGTAAAGTGTTTTCTAGAATTCACTTAGATTTTTACTAAAGATTGATTTCAAAAATAGTTTCACTAAAAACATTTTCAATAATTTTAAAAGCATTTCTAAACGAGTTTTTAATTAAAGAAAAGCTGCCAATTCCCACCCACTTATTTTCTTCAATTTTGGACTGATTAGACCAACAGATCATAGCCTTGACTAGATTATGGACTCATTAGTGTAAGATAATTAAACAAAACATCTAAATCAGCTTTTACTTAAATATCACAACTGCAAACCTCACTTTCTCTAGCAAATGATTGATTTTGATTTGCAACCCTAACATGGACATCAATCATTTGCACATGCCACTAATATTCCCAATTCTTCTGCTGCATTAATAAACTCAAGGGAGCAAGAGAGAGCGGCACTGCGGTGGTTATGTCTTTGGTGGTAGCCATGTGTTTAAATGCAGAGTATACTGAGCTAGAATATGAATGGCATCAAATGTGTCATAGGGAATCTCAATGTTGCAATTTATTCAACCTGAACCTCTTTCTATTATTATTTGTTGAGTAACCGACCAGTGCAGACTCACAACTAAGTCCGATTCAACGTTAATTTTGTTTCCAACTTAATCGTAGAGTTCAAATTGTTGAGAGTTGTCCCACATTGATGTGTGACAACTCTCAACACGTCCCTGCACATGTAGCAGATTTTCAAGCCTACACATCGATGGTGGAACTTCAACTTTCATCACAATATTTAGGGTGAGGCTATGCACAGTGATTCCATCGAGGTGGAGTTTCATGATTTATAACGATCTACACAAATCATTGTGGACTCACTAATGAGTTTGATTGAGTACCGATATAGTCCCCAAATTAACCTTAGATCCAATACCAAGTGCGTAACTGCGCCTATTGAAGCCATGTGTGATGAGGTTCATGACTTACATCGAGCTACAAAAATTAGTTTGACTCACTACTAGGTCTAATTTAACACCGGTACTATCTATAACTTAACTGTCCAAGTTGAATATTATTGTGAAATTACACCCAATGAACCAATCAAAGTGTAAATCCATGATTTGTATCGAGCCCCACAACTCCAACAACCACTATATGTTTAAAACAACATTAAAACAAGATTCTGTATCTCCATTTAGCCCCCACTAGCTCTTCCCCTTTATATAAGGCACAAGAGTACTAGAAGTCCTAGAACAATCTCACCCTTTTATACATTCACATCGCTCTATCTTCTTTGTCCCTCTCAGTGTTGATGGGTTTCCAAGACATTGTTGGGGGAAGGCTGGGATGCAACTATCAGAAGTTAACCAAGAGCAATGAGAAGTTGGGAAGGCCAGGAAGGCAACAATGGGTGAAGAAAATGAATGGAAGGCTAAAGGGTTTTCGGTTATCGCGCTCTCGGAAGCTTACTCTGAAGATTTTTTCTGTGGTTGTATGGACAAGCAGGCTTTCAAGGATATGCAGTGACACTGTGAACAGAATGAAGGTTGATGGAGCTTATCCAACCATTATCTTCTCCACTCAATGGGGGCTTCCAGTTCTATCCCATCCTTCTGTTAGGAGCTGCAGCATCAAATATTGCAGTCCTAATATTGCATCAATTAGGAACTGTATCAAATAGCATGATGCCTTCATTGATGTTATTTTATATATCTATCTCAATTTATATTTTTTTTCATATTTGTTTCTCAAATAATTAAACTTTTACCCTCCAGTAAACAGAATTTGCAGTAGGTGAATTGAGCATTGTGCACAATTGTCCTACAAATCTTCCATTTGATGTGGAGGAATTTTTGCGTTATCCTTTGGTGCGTCGAATTGAATTGGACTGGTTAACTCACTATATTAATTAGGATAAGTTAAAGGAAGAAACGAAGAAATTTTGTCCAACTTGAAGGTAGAAGATGAATTACTTATGAAGGAAACTAATCGTTTTTAATCTCCACAAAATGGTAAGCTTAGATGAATACGTTTCTTTCATGTCTGTTTTTCCACTTCCAACTTTATGTTACACATGAAGAATAGGTATCAGGGAATTTCCGGGTAATTTTGTTTATAATCTGTAAAATGTTACAATATTCCCAATATATAAATAACATTTATGCTAATGAGATTATCAACATATTTTCATAAGAATTACACAACTGAAAATCGATAAAAAGCACCGATATAACAATTACATGTAAAGGCAAAGGTGGACTTTGAATATGACAGGAACAGACTATATATATGTTAAAGAAGATGACACATGCAACCTAATTGGCCCCTTTAATTATGTGATCTCTTTCTTGTAGTTATTACAATTTTAGGTGGCACTTATGGAGACAGCATACGAGAGAGATGAACTTCCATGCACCTATACGATGCCACAACAGTGGTTTTTAAACTAATTACGCATTGTTTTGTAAAAAAATTAAAAAACAGAACAACAAATAAATTTCAGATACGACATATACAACATCCCAAGCATATGTAAGTTTCTCTCCTACTTCTAATGCACAAGACTACAATCAGCACTGGAATTGGGAGGGAGTCCAGTCCACCAAAGCTACCTGCTTTTAGGTGCAAAGCCAGGGATGAACAGACAATAAGACTCCTTGAGGCTGAAATTTGGGATGCGAAAGTGCCTTGCCACGTCCAACTTTGATCCCATCTTATTCTGCCCCTTCTTCACCAGCCGCCATAGTCGCGGCGGCGTAAGGTTTTCCTCACACGTCTCCGGTTCCTCCTTAATAATTGCTAGCTTGCTCTTGAGTATTTCCTCTGTGTCCTTCCAGGAGTCAGTCCGGAAATATTTCCGACTCATGCACGGCACTGCCCGCCACATTTTTCGATGTGCCCTCCTCATTTCAAGTTGAGTTCATCACCTGTAACCCTCCGTTTGGACGAGGAAAGTAAACTTGGACCATAAACAATGCTCTTCTCCTCGCCTATATATAAAGAGAGAGATAGATGTAGGGTGTAAGAAGAGGGAGGGAGGGAGGGTTTAAGAAAGTGGGTTGGGTTGTGGTATTAGTTGGAAAGCTAGGAAATGGAAAGGGGAGGGAGAAAAAAGGCATAACCTTCCCTCTCTTTACAGCGATGATTCAATCATACTGATCAGCTTTTGTTTGATAATCTTTTTAAACCTACCAAACTTTTATTCTATTTGAAACATCATGAAATATGTTTTCTACTTTCGAAGTTTACATATCTTGAAAAAAGGATCGATGCATGGAATTATCAAACTGTTAACTGATGTGGCACCTTGCGAATAATAATGATAGAGAGTAGAGACTCTTATAACTGTATTAGCATAGTTGATCATGCTAGTATGCTCGTTCCCTTGCATCAGAGATCGAATTGTATATCTCAATGCTAGTCGATCATGATAGTATGGTCATTACCTTATATAGAGATCAAATTTTCTTTTTTATAAATTCGAGTAGTTTAACATATCATGTTTGAAATATATACATTGCAGGAAAATTAATTAGTTCATAATAAAATTGCTTTATTAATTCAAGGATGTGCTAATCTCGATTAATATTGTTTTAGAAAATTGAGAAGCCCTTTGCCATGATTTCATTGACCATGATTCGCAGGTGAGAAGGGCTCCATGTTTTTCCCCATCCCTCCAGTTTACAGACTCTTTTTTTCCCCTGATATTCCTCTTCCAGTTTTTATTTTATTTCAGCTTTACTCCTTATTGTTTTTCTTACTAATTATAAATTCATGTCAGACTCCAAGTCATCTAGTGATTAAGATCTCCACATCACTCTTAATCAGAACACTTGGATGTTATAAAGTCTAAAAATTTAAATAAAGTATAAAAACGTTTGTTAAAATATTTTTCCTTTAATCCTAAATCCATATATATATATATAGACACGATTTCAAGCATTCATCTAATTTTGTAGAACTGTCATGCCTCAAGGCTGACCAAACCTTATGCAATTTGTATTAAAAGTCTTTCATAGTCTTGCTCTTAAAAAAAAATGTTAAGGAGACTCTCTTAAAGTGAAACTCTTCATAAACTCTCTTTTACCTTATAGTTTGACATTAATTTTCATGTTAATATCATAAAACATTATGTTAAAAATATGAGCGGTAGAGAGTCCATAGAACGTCCTTAGCATTTCTTCTAACATGAAGAGGATCCAAATCTAGCTTACTAGAGGCTCGCCAATTTAAGGCTAGTTTGACAAGCGTTTATAAATAAATAAAAGCATTTTTAAATAACTGAAAGTGGTTACCAAGAAATTTGGCAATCTCCATACATTCAGAATTATGTCATGATGTTTCACGCATTAGTAATGTAAAGGAAGATCAAACTTTTTAAATTAAATTTGTAAATTAAATGATATGACTGTAGATGATTGGATTATTAATTAAGTGTCGATTAACGTGCTTATTTCTTATTAGTGACATGTTATTTGATTTACAATTTAGTCTCTCTAACGTTACTCTTCACGCAAGGGATTGTCACCTTTATTCACATTTTATAAAATAATGATAGACTTAAAAGTGTATATTCCTTCGGATATCTATTATCTCCATATCAAAACTTTTGGTAAGCTAATTGATAAATTCAATCATAGCAGGAGAGTGGTCACATAATTAAATTACAACTCACACCTATAAACTTTTCGAACGATTAGTGTTTGGACCTAAAATAAGCATCCGGCGTGATCAACGTCCAAACTTGTTATTTTCATTTAAAACGCATTTGGGTGTTTATTTTGGGAAAAGGATTCTTGCCAAATCTTTTTAATAAGGATTTCGTCATCATGACCTTTCATCGTATATCGTGCGGTCAGAAATCATTTCAAAATTTAAAATTTAAAATTAAATATAAATAGTACCTAACGAAAATTAACCTCACAATGTACAATGAACGATCACGATCACAGGATCCCTAGCAGAATCCTTTTCCTTTATTTTGAAGGAAATGAATAGTGCACCAGTTTAAGAATTCAAAAGGACGTTATACATAGCATTGTGGGTGGCAAACACCCCTTCAAATTGTGTGATTAACCTAGTTGGTTTTTACAGAAGAAAAGGTGTTTTCTTATGGCATTTCGATAGTTTTAAGAAGATGAAAGCTCAAGTTATAATGTAAATTCTTGTCTTCAGACAACACTCACATCAACAACTAAAAACCGAGAGGATTAACGTAAGAGTAAAAGGCTTGAACTGGAAGAAAGACCTATTCTATAAAAGATAACATAAAGACAGAAGATAAAGACACTCAACTCATAACACAAAAAGATTTTAGAGCTCTGTAACCTACATTTTTCAATTGTCTTTTGTGACTTAACACCTTTGCAATTGCATTTATGTTTGCAGCTCTGCTACATGGCTTGTACTATCGATTTCTAATATTAAAATTTCATTTCAAAACTCTTCAACTACTAGGAAGAACTGCCCGACTGTCAATAGAACTTGCCCAATTGCTTGTATTTCTCATTTATTTTCAAGTTGTACTTTGTTATTGAACATTTGATAAGTATTTAACTCCATTTCTTTTATGTCTGTTAATTTTCATATATATTATCATATATTCTATGGTTATATTCATAGGAAAATTGCAAACTGAGTTGAATAAAGGTCCAATCTGTTTATGGTTATCACTTGGCATACGCAAAGAAAATATTTGAAGTCCCTTAATTAAAAAGGGATAGAAAAGAATTTAATATAGATTCTTAACCTGTCTATGGCACATTCTCTTGATTAGAAACTCAATTTACTTGTGGAACAAGCTTACAATCTAAAAATAACATCATTTAATCTCTTAGGGGGCGTTTGTTTGCCCTCACTAAGTTGGACTGGACTGGACTGGACTAGCTATTAGTCCAATACTATGTTTGTTCCATGCTGGGACTAACATTAATGAGACTAAAGGGGACTAGCATGGACAAAACCCTTCACTAAGAGGTCTTAGCGAGACCCCCCAATAACCATAGGACTAGCTAAGACTATCCTCTCTTTCTCGTCCTCGTCATGCTCAACGACCACTCTCAATAGACTCATCGTCATCTCCGGTTACCTAGATCAATCATTAATTTTCCGACTTTCTTTCAGATCCATTTCACAACCAACTTTCATACAAAATATACCAAATTGAAGCTGGGAGTGACAAGATTACGATTTTACCTGAATCGAGGCCAAAATGTGGTCGAATGTGGCTGGAAAATGGCCTGGAAGTCTCGGCCTGTTTGGGCTTCTTCAAATCCATGACCGATTCGAGCATTCAAAGCTAAGATCTCGGTCCAGGGATGGTGATGAATTTTTTGACGGTGCTAACTTCATCCAATTTAATGAGGAAATGGTAGGAAAAAATGAAGAAAAAGATAAGATCATAATAAAATATTAATAATTTATATATTAAATAATATAATATTATAATTTGTTATTATCCAGCTTCTTAGTCCAATACTGTACCAAACGCTTCACTAAGTTAGTCCAGTTTAGTCTAGTCTAAGCCAGTCCAGCTTAGTCATTGAAACTAATCCAGTCCGAGATAGTCCGGCGCAACAAACGCCCCCTTATTGTATTATCCTATGACACGTCTAACCATAACAAATAACTCATTTACAAAAGCTTAGTTGCCTACTCAAGGCCGTTTAATTTCTTTCTTATACACTAATAAATGCAAGCCACGTTCGAAATGAACACGATACCATGTCTCAAAACACATTTCGTAAAACATGTGAAAGGAAAAAGACTAAAAGAGTATAAATGACTACAAAAACAGGTCCAAAATTAGCGCAAGACTTTTTTTTTTCTCTATTAATTTAATTGGAAATAAACCATCTTCGGATTCATTCCTCCTAATCTATTAAATCTGGAGATTCGGATCATTGAAATTTGATTCAACGAATAAAGTTACTATAACTTTTAAAGTGAACCTCTATTTGTAGTTATTTGATCAAATTTTAACAGTCTAGATCCTCGAACTTGATGAATTAGAAGGAATGGATTCTAAGCAGATCCCTTTTCAATTTAATTGAAGCTTTAGAAGACTTGAGAAGGTCAGGCTTTTAGCTTAAAACTAAACCAATCAAAGTCATATAAAACACGTAATACCAGTACGAAAAACTTTTAATATTTCAAAAACACGATTTGATAATACAAATATTACAATAGAATAGTTGAATACTTTGAATTTTTTTTTTCACTCAATGTGTCGGATTGTGTTACTAAAAAGGAACCTGATATCAGCACATCTCTTTTACTTCTTATACATCTTTTGTTAATTTTTATCTATTAATCTTCTTCAATTCATCTGATCTAACCGTTGAAAATTAGAAAAATATGTGAAAAATAAAAAAATGATGTGTGAATATCACATCTCTACTAAAAATTTCTCCCCAGTATGCCTCCAAATGCCATTAAACCCACCAGAAAACCACCACGTGTCCTCTTCCTTTAAGATTAATCATGTGGTCACAATTTGGAGTGGCAGATGTGTAAAGAACGTTTTAAAATTTTGAAATACGCTATTTGCAATTCTTGTGGGTTGGGACTTGAGAACCGAAATTTTTTCCTACAACATTGGCGGAGAAATCTCTAACTTCTGTCCGTTCTTCAAGAAAATCTGAAAATCCTATTCGAATTCTCATCTGGGTAGTCGCCATTTCCTCTTCTGGTCCAACCCTTTTGATCGATTTTCAAAACTTTGATGAAATTATTGGTACTTTTTGGAGTTTGTTTTTGGTGAAAAGCATCGAAATTGATACAAAAAATTGATGTCTTTGGTTGAAAAGGAGATATCAAGCGTTGTTGGCGGCAGTGGCGGTGGTTGTGTGGTGGGCGATGATGGCGACGATGATGACGACGAATGCGGCGGCAGTGGTAGTGGTGGGTCCCACGGAAGATGCAGATGCAGGGAGGAGAAGGCGAAGAAGCAGAGAGGGTTTAGTGCTGGTGGGTTGTCGAGAAATTTCGGAAGGGCCAAGCAGGTGGTCCTTCATCCGTTTGGAAGATCCAAAAAGCAGCTTCCCAGAAAAGCCAACACGAGGGGTTCTGCTTCTGGAGCTTCTTCTTTGGCGTCGTCTTTTGCTTTTTCTTCAGGTAAGATGTTTGGAGGAGGTGGCGGTAACGGCGGTGGTAATAAAAGTTGTTACTTTTGTTTCACGCAACCCCCAACTTTGGACTCTCCAATGGGGTCTCCAACCAGCGACCCTGAGCACCCAAATTTCACCTTTGGGATGTTGAGAGCTTTTGTGGAGAGCAATGAATTTTATTCCAAAGATTGCAATCCCCACTTAGATATTGATGTTTCCCCATATAAAATGGATTGAATTTGAAGGATATTATTATCAATTTCTGCACTTTTTTGGTGTTTTTGTTGTGTGGAAGTGACGGTCATTTACAATTTTCTCGAAACGAATTGAAGGGGTTGTGGAATTTTGGTGTTGATGACAAGGGTGATTGGATTTTTTGAAATTAAAAGCTTTTGATCTTGTTGTCATGATAGTTTACGCGCATTTTGGCGGTTTTGATAGTGCGCATTGGTGTTAAGAATATATGCTTTAGGACAGCTTCAAGACAGTAGATGGAGAAGTCAAACTTTGATTTGATTTCAAGAACATATTCTTCTCATTCTATGCGATGATTCATAAATCTAAGCCCTTCGTACATATGAGAAACCGCATTCATCTTGCTCTCTTCCTAAAGCTAATTCTGGGTGCAAGGAGGAGGTGCTGCACGACGGTATCAGGGTGCACATTTGAAGGACGAGGAGTGTATTTTTGATGAACTGTAGGAATGGAAAAGGTTGAAACCTATGAATTCTTTGAATTTGTAATTTTCATTCATGCATTGTGTTTTTATGTGGTATTTTTTCCTGATATTGTGTGTAGATTGTAGAATGTAAAGTTTAAAACTTTGTCAATTCAATGACTGAGTCCGGGGGTGCCTCATTGACAGGTGTCTTGGATGAGATATTGCGGTTATGCTAATGAGAATCTACGGTATGCTTTTCTCTGCCTTTATTCTGTTTTCACTGGACTTTGCTCATCTGAGAGGACTTCATGGATTCTGTTTTGGGAATCTCTTTTTTCCGTTGTAAAGATGAGCTGTTGAGCCAGATGTTTTAGAACTTCAAATTAGGCTAGGAAGCTGCCATTTTGTAGTAGATGATTGTATGGAAAAGAAACCAGTATAATCTCTGCTTTTGCCTCTTAATTATCTTGTAGATAGATCATGCATTTTATGTTGAAAATCATTAAAGTACATATTTTAACTGATCTGTAGACTTGTACGCAGTGGTCTCGTTTGTTGCCTACGATTGGATTGGATTGGATTTGTTTAACTCATAATTGAAGGTATATATGAAGGTAGAGGAGGTAGATGATTTTTCATTTTGAGGGGATTAGATTCGACGGGAGAAGATCCCTTCATGAGTAATCCATTTTCATCATTCAAAGTTGGACAAAACTTCATTATTTCTTCCTTCAACTTCAATAGAGTGAGTTATCTAATTCAATCCTAGGCACCAAACAAGCCCTGAATTTTTGGCACTATCAGGGTTCAAACCCTGGACGTAGCCTACTCCTACCCATCTCCATGTTAATGGACAGATCGAAATTTGCCACGACAAAGACTTTCACCATAAAGGAATTTGAATCCTATAATCTTTGCATGTGTCTCATAAAAATATTATCTTCCGTAAACTCTTGAAGTGTTTTGAAGTTTGGTTATAAGTAGCATAGCAGGATGAAGCTTTCTAATCAGTTAGAATTTACAACACCAGAAGTTTAGAGCCAATTATATTAGCAATTATCCATTTTGTTTCTTAGAAACACAAGCTGATGCATTACAAATCTCTCTGGTTTCCAAGAGAGCATGCTGAAATAAGAGAAGGCTCCATATCTTTAACACTGTTTGTAAAGCCACACCTTTCACTAAAAATCCTTGCCGTAGTAGGGCGTCTTTTGCGATAAAGACCTTCATATGAGGAGTCCGATGTGGATCTGAAATGTAGCCTCTTCTGATGCCTGGTGGCCATTGTTTATGCAAACGTAGACTGACATCGGACTTGTATTTGCTTCTCTGGCAGGTGCAGCGTTTGCATATGAGTTGTTTGATGCATCACTAGATTTTCAGTCCTTTAAGAGAGTAAGACTAAGTCGTGTTTTCTGGGGTTGGTTTTGATGGATGAGCTATATCGACTTGTTTTATTGGAAGAACAAGAATGTCGAGTACATACATGGCCAGCATCAAGAAACTACCTCCAATACTCTCTGTCGGAGGTGGAAACGACGTCGGCTCTTCAAGATGACCGCTCCCCGATCTCAATGTGACATATTACAAGTACCTGCTCATGATCATGTAAACTGTACAAATGGAGGACTGATGATAGACAAATTGCTCTGTTCCAAGGCATGATAGTTACAAGCTATTGGTTTGATTGCCGGCGGACTATCAACTTGTAGGTTTAAGGCAGTGGCGATTGCCGGCGGCAAAGTTGGTTGCGGTGATGGTGAAGGGAGCAGGTATATTGGTGTGATTCCTCCCCCAACGTTGAATTTCTAGAATTTCATGTTCATAAACCCCAACAAGGAAACAATACATCTCAATTTGGACGTCCTTCCTTTTGTGCAACTTTCAAACACGGGTTTTCAACACAAATATTCTCTTGGTCGTCTGATAATCAAGGGGTATGATCAAATGGACGTACGTCTAGTGTTTTAATCTCAAATCTTGATACCAAATCCAAAGGCGAGTGATCATGAATTCTTAGTCACCAGATGACCATGAGAACGAGTCTCGTGTTTTTAAACTCTTGCACTCCCATCTCAACAACGATAACCTATTCAAGTCACAAAGAACTTGTAGCTCTGGTGGTTGAGCACATTTACAATCACCCGAGGTTTCAATTTCGATTCTTCCCCATATCACTTGTGTAAAAACACACCTATCTACATCCACACACAATTACCAACCAAGAGGGAAGCAACACAATCCATCATGTTCAAATGTTTATTACCAATAAAAGCTCAAGCGCCAACAAAAGTAGAAAAAGAGAAGATGGTCCACACCTTTGTTTTTCCTTTTTTAGGTCGGGGAAAAAGTTCCGCACTCAAAAATATCTGGGAAGACTTGAACAAAGATGGGCCTGAAATGTGATCAAAGTCCGACCCGATTCTGTGCCCGACCCATTTACCATTTCACAGAATCCGCAGAAACAGCTCCAAACTTTATTCACTGCATCTGGCAGATGATGCCAAAGGATAAGGAAGACGGCAAAAGAAGGTGGGCCCCACACGATTATGGGTCAAATCTAGTGGTTCCCCTCTACTGCCGGTTATCAGGGGATTTGACCCTCGAGCAGAGGGCTGGGCCAACACCCAAAGAGAGACTCACATGCACGTGCTGGGACGCTGCGCCTGTCCTTCATATCGTGAAAAAGTTAGCGGTCATGTTACAATGTGCTCGTTTGAAAGTCTTTTTAAAATAATGAAATATTTTTTTATGAGTTGTGAAAAAACATTTGAACTGTTTCTTGTAAGAAATACATAACTAATGTTTTTTAAAGAAACATTTCGAGTGCTTTTGGAACTACAAATATTTTCTCTAAAAATATTTTCAGTAATTTTAAAAACACTTTTAAACAAGCGTTATATCATTAGGTCGAAGTGCTACGCATAATTAGCGGAATATACACAGGAGAGTAATAATTAGATAACAAAGTTAGATTTACTATTCACAAAAGAAAAACGTGATCTTATTTAATCATTTTTATTATGTTATTAGCATAAGACGCCAATAAAAGAAGACTTTACTCGCTCCATGATGCTTAAAAGTCATTTGATGCACAATGTAGAGTTACTGTAAAATATAATATTCAACGAGCATATCAGATGGTTGCAAGTCTGCAACACACTAACTAGGATCTCGTATTCGGCAAATCTCTGTACTCTATTTGTGGTCTCATATTTGTAAGAGAGATCTTGTACAGCCATACACACGCAAAAATTTTCCCAAATTTTTTTTTTATCAATAATTTTCCCAAGCTTAAAAAGGACTTATATACATGTAACATATCTCAAGATGCTATCGTGACATCTCAAGTCCAGTCTTTTTGGTTGGGGGCATGTACTTCTCTTTTCACGATTTGAAGCAACATGACACATTATGCTGACCCTCAAGTAGATGGACTGAGCAACACACAAGGAGCAAACTTACACACACTTGTCAGGGCGTTACACTGGATTAATTATATATCATGTGAGAAATCTGAAACACATTTTAATATGTTATTAGCATGAAATGTTATCGGGTTTGCAATGAGTCATTTTCAATGCACAACTTAGAGTCAGCAAAAATATGGGATTCAATGTGTGATTCTTTGTTGCCACACATTTGTTAGAGCAAGGACCATGCAATCGAACATACCTAAGAATTTGTCCGGACTATGCGAAATGTCTTGCCTACAACTCTCAAGACGTTAATGTAACAAAGCGAATCAATAATAAATGTTACATGTTTAGATGATCAACGTAAAATTGTATAATTAACTAAACACTAATCAAATCAAAGTATTACACATACTTTTAAAGAACTATCGTAATATATATTACGTGTTCCGACTCAATAACACAACGTTGAGTGCGAGAGCAACATGACATCCAATCCAATCCATCACCAATAAGACTTATCCAAAATCCGCCGATAGGGTTCGGCACGTGATCCCCATTAGTCCGCCTTACTCGTTCTTTTGTTTTTATCCATCCCATTGAGTAAAAAAAGGTTCCAAACGCAAAAGGCCATGCCTTTAATTATTAGTTTTTCCTTATCGCATATCCAAGAAAATCCCAAGCTCTCGCTCTCTCTCTCTCTCTCTGTCTGACCCTCTCTGGAAGGAAGCCTAATTTTCCCATTAGTTTATGAAGCAATCATGAAGCAGATTAACTACGCCATTGACAATATTAATACAACCATGATATTCTGCCCAATGGGTTGCTTTCTCTTCCCAAATTTCAGCTGGGAACCGCCAGATATCCATGAATATTTTAATTGGAAGGGGAAGTGGGAGATGGTGATCGTTGCTATTTATGGCTGTCATCAACTAACTCCATTTACCCATTTGGAAAGGTAACCCAAAATACTCATCCAATCACTCCCCATCCCCCCACCAAGTTTGGTAGCTTTATCCAGCTGCAGAAACTCCATCTTGGATCCATTGTTTTGTGTTTTTGGAGTGGACCCGATCTCCTAATTTTTTTCTTTTCTCTGTAAAACCGTACTTTTTTAAATTATTTTATTAAAGGCGGTTCCTTTGTGCACTAACAGTTGAGTCCTGCTGCTGGGATTGGAGTCCCGGTCCAGGGACAGATGGGGATGGGACTGAAAGTTCGAGACTTTAGTGACCATTTTTTTAATTCAGTAACAGTTCTGTAGCAATCCCAAGTTTTTGTTTGCGGATTTGGGTTTTCTATAAGTTGGGTTTGCATCTGAGAGACTGAGTTAAGTTCTGCGTGCTTGTACTGCAGCTGAAGAAAGGTTAGGCTGTTTTCATTTCTTTTTTTGCCTAATTTAATTTGTTTTTAGCAGCAAATATGTAGTTCTGATCACTTTTAGGAGTTGGGTGTTTTTCCTTTTGATCTAGAATTGTTGTTGACTAATTTTTTGATACAAACGATATTCTACTTTAAATTAATCTAACTCGAACTCAAGATCATAGGGATTTAACTGATATTCTTGATTCAGTTACTTTGGCTTCTTTAATTACTAGTTGTTTCAATCTTTTTCTTACCTGGGTTTGGTTTAATTAAGTAATTGGTTTTTAGTTATTTGTTCAAGATATCAGATCAACTTGAAGTTGAGTAATTGTTCTACTTTCACCGAAGTTTCTGTTGTAATTAGTTTCACTTGTTTCTGTTAGTTTTTGTAAATGCTAAAGACGTTTGTGTTTTTACTGTTTTGGGAAGAAATAGTTCTGTTCTTTGTGATAAGTTTTCATATGTTAAAATGTTGATGTAGTCCTGTAAAAATACTGGTATTTTCAGCATCATTAAGCTTATTAGTAGAATAATCCTGAGCTTTGCTACTGATTTTTTACTTCTAGTATTACAATGATCCGAACGGCGATTGCTATGATGAAAATAAACTCAATGATAACCACAACCAGATTAATTTTGTTTTCCGTTCGCAGTTTGTGTGAGAATGTCTTCTTCAAGACC